CGCATTTTTAATCACAAGATATTACCATTTTAAAATTTGTGTTCAGGTGATGCAATACTTTTGAGCGCCACTGTATAATAAGCATTTCTTTTATATCCTTAAAGTTTATGATCCAATAATTGTTGTCACTAATCAATAATAATAATAAACAATTATTGTAATGACTAGAAATTTAAATTAAAATCGTTGCTAAAATTTTTTTTTAATGCTTGATTTAATTAAAACCGTATTTAGGAAAATATATATCTTTCTTTTTAAAAAGAAAAAAAGTACTTACGTACTAGTACTGGTGTCTCATCTTTAAAAAAAAGTCTTATTTTTTTTCATCGTTATTGGTATATGATGGATATTAACTTTAATATTTTTGTTTACTTATTTTTTTAGGAAAGTCGTTAAAAGTGGGCAGTATTATATATTTCTTTATAAATGAAATTAATTTGTATTGTATTTAACGTTACAAAATAATATGTACAGTATATATATATAAAAAAAAGAACTAAATTGCGAAAGTTATTTTATTTTATTAAAATATTTATAAATATGCTATCAAATTGTTCTATTTATTGATATAAATGTCGGAAAATACTTTTATGAAAAAATTTATAAATCTTATTGAACTGATAAACTGTGGTTACATACTATGGATGTGTGCGGAATCCATTTACTTTTATTTACCACGTACAATAAACTAATACATTTTTTACGAAAGGACCATAATTAATAATAAGTAAGTAAAGGATGCTAACAAAAATACGTAGGAAATCATGTTTCCAATTGAAAATATTTCTTATTTTCAGTACAAATTCTTATTGAACATCAATAATAAATCTACTTATCTTCTATATTTGAAGTAGTGCTCCTAACGGGTCAAGTCGGGTCGGGTTTTGAGAATATATTCGACCTGATCTGAATGAAAAAGGAAAAACCCGTAAGTATTCGGGTCACAAATTTTTCATAACCCAAATCGACTTGACCCGAGTATAATTTAACCCCGTATAAACCCGAGTCAAGAGACGAATTTTTTACTCTAACAAATTGATCTACAAGACAATGAAAATGATCGCCAAGTAGGTCGCACAAATTATTTTATATTATCATTATGGCGTGAATTTGAAGATATTATTCTTTAAAAAGTACATATGTATATTCAATTAATATCAAACATTAAAATTCAAAATTTATTAATTAACAAAAGTTTATTTTATGCCTGCCAGGACTTCAAGCACATGCATGCACTAATTGTATCTACCAAAATTTCGTTCCTCTTTAAAACTTTCCATTACATCTGCTTTAGGAACCAGTGCATCTGAATTAAAAATCTTTATCATACTTCAAAAATCCTTATTTTATGCTGTTGTGAATGGTCGTTCATCAGCAATTATCCATTTAGTAAGAAACTTACAAAAGTCCGTTTGTGTAAACTTGAGAATAAGAATAAAGTAAATGAAAAAATAATAACCAAGAAACCTAAATACTTTTTAATTTTATAACTTATATAAAATTATAATTATTCAATTATACTTGCTTTAGAAGGAATCTCTGTCTGACCTACGAATTTATCTAATGTACTTTGATCTTCTGTCACTGATTTTTTTGCTTTTTTGTTTGGCCTTGGATCTTTTTCTGGATGATGAACTTCTACATGACGCTAAAGATTGGTTGTATTAGAATCACCAATTTTATGAAGCAGATTTTCTTTTTCCTAAAATTTTAAGAGTATTTAGTCAATACTTGGCAGATATTTACACATGTCATGATAAATTTTACTTACAGACAATTAAGACACTGAAATTCATGATAAGTTTTTGCATTTTCATGATCTTGTAAATATTTCTTTCCTTAAAGAGATCTTTAGTAAAAAGCTCTATACGCAAAGCCTTTCTTTTCCCAAGACGTTGAGTTGGTGGAGTTTTTGGTTCAGTTAGGTCAACAGACATTATAATAAGATTATTAGTAATGGATAAAAAGGTGACTTAGTAATTTGGACTTAATAAAGAAAGGAACAAAAAAAAAGATTTGGATAATCAAAATAAACTAATAATTATCGGGTTGATTCGGGTCAAAACCCGGGTCAAGAAGATGAATGACCCGACCCGACGGGTCATGCGGGTCACGGGCCATCAAAATTCATAATACCGACCCGACTTAAAAGTCGGGTCGGGTCAAATTAACCCGGGTCGACTCGTATCGTTCCGTTCGGAGCACTAACCATATTCAATGACATTTATAATTATTTTTTTAGAATTTTCTAATTTTACGAAAGGTTCTTACTCACTTATTTCAATAAATAGAAAATTTTGATGACATGCTTGAATATTTTTTTTTTTGCTTAACAAAATAAAATAAATTTCGCAAATTTTAGATATTTTTTTTTTTTACACACACATTTAACGTTGTATTATTATACAATATTATAACGCAATTCGGTTCATTATCACTTGAAACTTGAATAAGAATAGAAATGCTCCGCAACACATTTAATTTTTTCAAGAAATATAAATAACTGCCCACTTTTAACGGCTTTCAAAAAAATTAAAATAAAAAATATATATATTAAAGATAATATTCATCATCATCGTATATCAATAACGATGAGACATTTGTTTTAAGTTGAAAAAACGAGAACAACAGATCGTAAGTACTTTTTTTCTTTAAAAGGTACACATTTCGTTAAAGAAATAATTCAAAATATCACCGATAATATATCATCATTCTAGTTATTTACAATAATTTATTATACTTATTATTTATTAGCTAGCATTAACTTTAATGATCTAAAATAAAAGCTTATAAGTAACATAATTCTTTTAATATCCATTTATCAAGGAGGATAACATAGACTTATAGGAAAGCATAATGAGATATCTATTAATATTGAATCCTTCGAAACTTTACTAGCAAAGAAGTGATAACAAAAGAAAAGTTTTAGGAGGATTTAAAGATACCATCTTTTATATTTATAGCTTCAATAATACTTTTTTAGCCAGAATTCTAAGTTTCGGTTGCGTAATTGGAAATTGAAGAACCCATCCAGTTCGGGCAGAAATAAGAAGTCGCGATATGCCACTACCAAGGACCTTAACATTAGTATTTTGCGGAATATATAAAATTGAAACCGTAAATTATTGTTCTCTTGAACGATTTCTATATCGTTCGAAGATCTCTAATTTATAGCTTTTTTAACGATATAGAAATCGTTCAAGAGAACAATGATAAATCGTTTTAATATGATAAAATTCTCTAAAACTAGTTAATAAATAATCAAATGTTAATTTAACATGTTGCATTTCATTGTAGTTTTTAAAAAGAATTTAAATAAATTTATGAATTCAATATTAATTGTGGAAATTGTGGAAATAATTTAAAATTATATTGATTTATAATACTTTATTAGCAATTTATAGTTTTGATGAATTTTATTATACATGAGTTTTAATCGCTATAATAATTATAATAAATGTTTGGATTTACTAGAATTGATGTTATGTTAAATTTTAATTTTGCAATAATAACAATTTCTGATGATGAGGTCAATATATGTAGGGATGATATCGGCTCAAAATGAGTCGACTCGAGTCGATTCTGGAACTGTTTCTCAATTTAACAGATTCTGAATCTCCTGAGTTTGGGACTATTTTTAACAAATATTAAAAATTGAACCGGAACCGACTCGCTCAAATCGGCTTATCAAAATTTTGACGGCTACCGATGATCAAATTTTTTATAATTGATATTCATCACATGTTCAACCTGTGTTTTAAATTTGATGCATGTACTGTATGTAGCTCATGCTAGTTGAAGCGCCGATGAAGAACCGAAATATAACCGCGAGCCGATCTCTATCCCTACATATATATATGTCTTTGTGATATCTTTTCCTTTCAATACAAAGATATGCAATTAATTTGAAATTTATCAGTAATTTTTTATTCCCAAACACTATTGTTTGATAAATTAAAATTGCTACTTATTATAAAAAAAAAATTTGACAATCATTTTAAGCCAAATAATACCATTATTGATTTTGTTTTACATTTTTTCGAATATTTTGGAACAAATATAGCAAACTATGATTGATAATTATGTAGTAATTTCAAAGTTTCAAATTTTTAAGAAAATTAGTGAAAAATAATGTTTAATATACATGTAGATTTATTGGTTAAGTTAACATAGTCAAATATTTGTGATTATAATTATTAAAATCTAAGTTACGAGACATAGTAAATCATATGATACAAACTTGATTTTAGTTGTGTGAAGTATTTTCAACAGCGAAAGTTTAATTATCTTCGAATAGAACGAGCTATCCTCGTTTGTTATCTACTTGTCGAAGAATGCTTTTATAGGTAAAGCCTAAAGTACTGACCAACGCTTTATGATCTTTCGCTGGGGAGTAGCTGAGTGAATCAAATAATTAAACCTTAACTTCTCATGGCGTAAACTCCAGTATAAACTTGTTAAGGATTTTCAGAATGCAAAAGTTGGCAAAGTCTTGTGATCAGTTGTTTCAAATAATTCTACTCTTTACTAAATTGGTGTAAAAAAGTAATAATTTAAAAAGTTATTATTAGCTTATGACTGACTTCCCAGTAGAAATTTTTACTGTAACAAACTTACTTATTTCTTCTCCTCTATTGATCCTGAATTAGCTGATTGTATAGTACCAAATTTTGCCACTTTGATGTATCACAAAATTTGGGCGCGATCTTTTTTAAAAAATATTATCAGGACTAATGATGATGTCTTGTTCAATTTTGATCCCCCTATCTAATCTACTGAAAGTATAGGTAAAGATATTTTTTTATAAAAAATAGATCAACCTTAATGTCGAAACTCAAAATTTTTAAAAATAGTTTAGGAAGCATCTTTAATCACAAACAATTTAGTTTTATCCCATGCCTAAAGAATTGTCTCAAATATTATTTTTTCTACTAGTAAATTAAGCAATACTGAGTGAGATTATCAGTTATTGGTTCGATTTCAACCTTTGCATTATATTGTGGCAGAATATTTGTAGAGTTATAAGACTGTAGAAAGTTTGGTAACTTTTATAAACTTCATTAGTGATGAGAAAGAGTTATATTCTGAAACACTAGTTAACATTCAGAATGATTTAAGAGTATATATAAGAAATGATTGTCACGCGCAAACAAGGGATTTTCTGATTCTTATGTGCAACAATAAATATTTATAATTTTGTTTTTATATATTTTACTCTGCGAAATAAATAAAAATCTCAGGCACATGATTTCAACATCACTGAGCTTACTTAAAGCAAAAACTCATATCAACATTTGATAAATACTGTCATATTGAGAAAATTTAGTGCATGATAAGATTTAGTAATTGTCAAGTTTAATACATCAATTAAACTTGAGGAGGACGTATCTTGCAAATAGAACAAGAAAAAATTCAGTTGTTATATTTTTTTATTTTACGTTCAAAAAAGTTAATTTTGAAGATGGTACACAATAAATATTTTATCTAAAAATCTATATTATCTACCTGCTTTTGCAGTTAATTACGAAAAAAAATTCCCTTCATTAACTAAAATGGCGTAAAGTTCATTTTTGATAATAGTACGATTTTGAATAAGTACGGTCCGTTAACAAAGTTGGTTTATATTTATAAAGTATATTTGTTAGTCAACAACCAAATTATCATTTTTTATGAACATGAATGATCACGTGTTTTTTTTTTTTTATATAATTGATAGACGGTTGCAACTGTCAAAGTTTCTATGTGTTTGATAAAATTAATATTGTTGATCATAAAGGGAAATGTATTCATTCGGGGAGATATTCATAGTGACTATTTTTAATAATATGATTATTTTATAAACTTGAATTATAAAATAAAAGTTTAGAGTCTCCTTTTTCTATTGTTACAAGATTAGCAAAATTACCAAAAAACTAATTAACAAATAAAGTTAAATGATTTTCCTACAGAAATACTTTTTTAAAGTAATATAAAAACAAATAATATTAGTAGGAGAATATAAACTATATTATATAGTTATTGGGAAGGGGCGATTAAATATCAGCCGATAGGCTGATATAGCCCTGCCCAATAACTCTTTTATTGAGTGATCTATTAGGACCGGTGATTGGATGAGAATGAAAAACGTAATTACATACGTCATGGTCGACAATGTCAGCCATTTGAGGTCCTAATAAATGCACAATAAAAATGATTTGTCAGTCAATAATTGTCTGTAAAATGATTATGTCGAAAAATGCTTGTGCATGTCTCATCGGTAAATTGATTAAAGCACGATCTAATACAGCTTCAGATAAAAGATATTAATATTTTTTATAAAAGTAATGAATTAATAACAAAAGAGAATGACAAAAAATGTAATGAAAGTGTGGTAATCCCTATTTGAACATTAACAAATATAATGTAAATTTCATACTTTAAATTAGATATGCGCAGTCCTTTACATTTATGGTTGTAAATGAAAGTCAGGGTAAGCAGAAGGTATGTATTTTTAAAATGCATTTATTAATAACAACTTAAAACTAACATAAGGTATTGCCTCAATCGTCAGCGCTCTATACTATCAGATACGTATTTTATTTAAGGTTTCGTTACTATTATAATAAATGCGAAGGGAAATCGTCAGAAAATTTATTGGAAATGCACATGGTAATTCTTGTATGACGAAAACGGTCATGATTTTGGGTATTAATCGTTTTCATATTTATTTTTTCTAGCTTTGCTTTATAGGATCATTTTTCTTGAGCTTGATCGAGATCAAATGAAATTGAATATACTGTACATATGCCCGTCTAAGTGTTTCGTTTAATGGAAAAGCTAAGGATTGAAGGAAAAAATCACAAAAATTTTCATGATAAATTCATATTTCTCTCGATATAACATCTATTATTGCATTAATAAGCCTTTATTAATTATTTTTTATGTGAAATGGAACCCA